GTCTATAAAGTGTGAGGTCCTATTTTTAAGGCTGAGGTATGCATCAGTCTGTCCAGGGTCCGCTACAAGAAAATTTGTAGATTGTAGGTGACTTCAGGTGTCGGGCTGGCTTGAAATATGCAGTAGGCAAGCGAGAAATGATGATGCGAGAGTTTTTGTTTGCTGGTTTCTTGGTTTTATTCAGTATTCTTTTTCATTCACTTTAACTCTTTTACGTTGCTACTTTGACTCGTAGTTGAATGGTGCGCTGGTGGACTGCGTAGTGTGGTGTTTTGCTTTTGTGACTGCCTAGTGCAGTGTCTTGGGTGTGTGACTGAGGGACTGCCTAGTGCAGTGTCTTGTGTTCGGGCTGATAGACTGCCTAGTGCCTTGTATTCGGGCTGATGGACTGCCTGCTCTTTCGGCCGATCTTGGCCCTTTTATGCAGCTGGCGATCGCACCTGAGACCCGAAAATAATTAATTCTTGCTGACTTAAGGTTATTGGATAACAATAATTGTGGGGTGTGGTAACTAGGTCGAAGCTTGGTGCTTCATTGACGATTTTTAGTGGGTCAGTAGTGTTTTGCTGAGACTGCATCCCGGAAGATGCAGTTGGGAATTGGGTTTAGGATTGATTTTGCTAACTCGGCATCGCGGAAGGTGATAGCTGAATTTGGGCCGGTAGGTCGATAATTTTATGCTGGCTTGACTTATTGTGAAATAACGCAAATGATATTTCTTATGTAGGCCGTCGATTGCGAAATGTCCCAAGAGGTGGGGTGTTTTAAATTGTTGTGTGGACAAGAGAGTTCTTAATTAATTGTGTGCGTTGCTTAAGACAATTTTATTTCCCGGAGTTGCTGACACACCGCTATTTGTGGAGAACCGTGGCTAGAGCCATGGTTCGTTATCTCTGTGTATATCAGTGTATATGTGTATATCTCCCGCCAGCGTGGATGCGCTGACCCTCCGCCGTTTGTTACGAGCCATGGCTAGAACCATGGTTCGTTACAAAAGAATTGAAAAATCGCCTAAACCAACAAATAACTGCAGCTTGAAACCCAGGCGTCCGACAAAACTTAACATATATACCATCAACTACGACTCCAGGAGTTTCTTTTGCTCAGGCGTTAATTTACAACAACGGGTCGTACGCCTCAGTCTCTAAGCCGACACTTCAACCAACCACAGCTGGAATAATGCAGAATCAGGCATTAAATCAGATCCCAGAATTCTCTGCCCAACATACCCCTGCTAATCCATCCCAATTGCCTAGTGGAATTGAATCAATGCTGGTAACTTTAACAAACACAATGGTAGCAATACAACAAACGATGCAGGAGCTTATGCGCAACCAAAATCTCCTCCTGGCGCTCCTAATCAAACAGAAATCTGTTTAAATGTCCTGTCTAAATATATGTTTCTGGAATGCAAATGGCATTTCGCAGCATAAATGCGAGCTCTTACAGTTCCTCGCTCAACCTCGATGGCTATAACTTCTATGCGACAAATCATCCCGATGGTAGGGCACATGGAGGTACTGGCGTTCTGATCAAGAATCGCATTAGGCATTATCCATTGCCTTCATTTTCTACACCTTATCTACATACAGGCAACAGCATTTCATATTGAAATTCAGAGCGGCTACCTAAACCTAGCCGCAGTATACTGCCCACCACGCGCATTTCCGAAACAGCATTTGTAACATTCTTCGAACTACTAGGTGACCGATTTATAGCAGCTGGTGACTACAATGCCAAGCACACCCATTGGGGATCTAGACTTACCAACCCGAAAGGAAGACAACTATATAACGCTATAATAACCCCACGAAACAAGCTAGACTTTATCTCTCCGGGCAAGCCCACATATTGGCCCACAGATCCAAACAAGCAACCCGACTTGATTGATTTTGCAGTTACACGAAGGGTGCTGCAAGCTCAGATTAATGTAGATCACTTCACAGATCTATCATCGGATCACTCGCCCATTCTACTTCACCTTTACGACCATCCACAGCTTTCGGAACGCCCACACTTTCTAACTTCTAGCAAAACAGATTGGCTAAAATACAGGAAGTACATAAGCTCTCATATTGATAGCTGCCCATGCATTAATTGTAAAGATGACATTGATAGGTCAGTCGAAGCATTGGTTTCCTCAATGTCACTGGCGGCAAAACACTCAACACCAATATTAGCATCTAATAAACTTTCCAACAGCAGTCGTATTTCTAGGCACATTGAAGTGCTGCTACGCGATAAAAGAAGGCTTCGCCGAGAGTGGCAAGCACGCAGATCACCTGCCTCGAAAGAGCGGCTAAAAATAGCCAACCACCTACTACGCAGAGCCCTAGAAGATGAAAAAAACCGAGCTCAACTCTCCCCAACTAGCAAACGATTCCCACTGTGGAAAGCAAAATCAGGCGTATGCCCACCAATCGAGAGTGAATCACCTTTGCATACACAAGCAGGAGAGTGGGCTCGCAGCAACAAAGAGAAGGCAAATACATTTGCCGTCCATCTAGAAAACGTCTTCAAACCACACCCAGCAACGAAAAGCTTTGTGCTTCCACCAACCAACAATCCCGAAGCTACTCCGCCTATCATATTCCAATCAGGAGAAGTCACAAGGGTCATAAAGACCAAATCTCAAAGCAAAAGAAAGCTCCGGGCCACGATTTAATCTCTCCTAAAATGATCATAGAATTGCTGAGCTGTGCAGTGTATTTCCTTACTGTGATATTCAACAGCATGATGACTTGGGGCTATTATCCTCAAGAATGGAGGAAATCAGTCATCACAATGATCTATAAAGCCGGAAACGATAAGTCCAAGCCATCATCATATAGACCTATCAGCCTACTGCCTTGCCTATCAAAGATATTTGAAAAGCTGCTCCTGAATCGTATCAAACAACACCTACACATCAACGGTGCCATCCCGACTCACCAATTTGGATTTCGCGAAAAACACGGAACCATTGAACAAGAAAACCGTATAACCTCTGAGATACGAAATGCATTTGAAAGACGGGAGTATTGCTCCGCTGATTTTCTGGAAGTCGCCCAGGCTTTCGACCGCGTTTGGTTAGATGGCTTAGTCCACAAAATCAAAATATTACTTCCACAGAACATTCATGGAATATTGGGGTCATACCTACAGCAAAGAAGTTTCGCAGTACGATCAAAGATTTCCTCTCTGAATATCATCCAATTGAAGCTGGTGTACCGCAAGGCAGCGTGCTTGGACCGACACTGTATATCATATTCACAGCAGATCTACCGACAAACAGCCTAACCACAACTTCGACATTTGCTGATGATACTGCCATATAAAGTCGCTCCAAGTGCCCAAGAAGGGCCACGGATCACTTATCATCTCATCTCGTGGCCTTAGAAAAATGGCTAGCAGACTGGCGGATACATGTAAACGAGCAAAAGTGCAAGCATGTCACCTTCACGTTAAACAAACAAACTTGCCCTCCATTATGTCTGAACAATATCAACATTCCACAAGCCACCGAAGTAACATACCTTGGTGTTCATCTGGATAGAAGAGAAATCTACTTAAATTTAAAGCTAGTTATCTACATTGGCTAATAAACACCCGTTCACCACTAAAACTGGAGTAAAAAGTACTTTTGTACAGTGCAGTTCTCAAACCCATCTGGACATACGGCTCCGAGCTATGGGGAAATGCTTGCGTTAGTAATTATTTCTAATCCAGAGAGCTCAATCGAAGATACTAAGAACTATCACTGGGGCACCATGGTACATACGGAATGAAAATATCCATAAAGACTTAAATGTAGGATCAGTTAAAGATGAAAATGCCAAAGTGAAAGCAAAGTACCAGGCCAAGCTTCAAGCCCATCCTAATAGACTTGCGCAGTCTTTAAATTGTCACACTAGCCATACACGACTCCGGCGAAGTGACCTTCCCACCCAGCAATAATACTTAGCTAGGGACGTACTCTAAGTAATTAAGTGTAATTAATTAAATATTTATTTTAGGCTAAGATTTGTATACTTGTCGTAAGTCTCTAATGGGGAAGATTCGATAAATAAAATCCCGTAATAATGAAAAAAATAAAAAATAAATAATATCCACCACTAAATCCCTTCCTCTTCTTAAATCACTAATACTAAAATACCTTTTCCGTAACACTACCCAACAAAATTGAACTTTTTTTTTAGGCTGTGGACCAAAATGACTTTTTATGATAGATTTCGGGTTATAAAAATTTTTGTAGTGCTTTATTTTTTTTATGGTTTTTTTCAGAGGTAGTGCTTCTATTTTTCACATAACTTAAGTATCTTATATCTGGTTGCATAGAACTTTGCAGTTCTAAAAAACTGACAAATGCAGCTTAATCCGACCCAGACATTTTGTATCTGCAGCTTAACGCCTGGAAGATATACAGCTTTCAAATTCAAATTTCATAATTTTTTGCGGTATTTTTTTTTTTCGAAATTTAAAGTTTAAAAACTCGGAAAAAGTCGAAAGAAAAATAATTCTTGGCATGCATTTTTAGTTTTAGATAGAATTCAGACCATAATTGTGATCCGATCTGATTCAGATATAAGATACTCAAGTTATGTGAAAAATAAAAGCACTACCTCTGAAAAAAACATTAAAAAATACGATTTTAAAATTCTTAAAAAAAACCATAATTCGTTAAAAATTTGTAGACCCCGATATCTATAAGAAAAAGTCATTTTGGGCCACAGCCTAATTGTCGTGTTGACTAGTGTAATTAGTACTATTTCTTAGGTATATTTTCATGTTTAGCTCTAATAACACTACCCGACACAATTTCGCCGCTTCGAACCAGACCAACTTTTTTGAAAGATTTAAACATGCTTAGTAATAATTTATTTTTTTTTAGCAGAACTTTTTTAAATTATTTTTTAAATCTGGTTTTTTTAAAGCTTATTACAGTGGTAGCTTTTTCATTTTTTGTGCGTTTAAAAATTTGCCAAAGTTTTGAATGAAACTGCTCGAAAAAAGTTACTCACTTCTCGTTTTGATAAATTTCCACTGATGAATTCAACTCTGCTAGTTGCTCCTTTAGAAGTTGCAAATTTGAATTGACGAAGCTCAGTTCCAAGGCTACTGTATCGCGTAGTTTGCGGTTAGTTGTCACCTTAACGCAGCAACAGTAGGAATTGGGAAAGCCGTTAAAAATTATAGTCCTTTTTTTTTCAATTATTAGTTCCTACCTTGAATAAATTCTCGGCTCCAGCGCGTAAGCGAAGTTCCTTGTTGATCTCTTGGTTTAGTTTGCAGCGACGACTTTGCAGCTTGCCTCGACATGTTGCAGCTCTCGGATCAGACCCCTGAAATATAAACAATATCATTTTTGCTATTCGACATTGCTTAAGCACCGTACTATATATTGAAAATTAAAAAAAAAATTTAAAGTAAAACGAGAAGGAACGCGTGAGTCGCTTCTGGGGACGCGACTCTACTTATATCCGTACTCAGTCAGTATATACATTTTTGAGCATGATTTTTTAGAATTTTAAAATAAAAATATATACATTTTTTTGCTACATCTGTTATCTACATCTACAATGTATATTCTACATCTAACATGTAGATTCTACATGTACCATTTATATTCTACATCTCCTCCGCTAGCGAGAAAGAGAATGAGTAGCGGTTCTCTGGCTGAAGTAGGCGGGGGAACCAACAGAAAATATACATTTTGGTTCACAGCCTAAATAAAAAAGTTAAATTTTGTCGAGTAGTGTTATTGGTGTTAAATATTGTGAGCTTAACAGCTCACAATCACGAAAACCTACAGCGGATCGGGCTAAGAATGCCCTCAGGTTCAATTCATTCGAGGCGTTAAGACGGAACAGACTGCCTCATCTAACTATATATACTTTATGGGGTCGGAAATGTTTCCTTCTCTGCGTCACACACATCCACTTTTACCACAATTCTAATATACTAATAACTCTTTGAGTACGGGTATAAAATCCATATCAAGGCTCGAATTATGCGCCGCCACCCTCTTGGCTCAATTTTGGTCATACGTCAAACAAGTTCTTGACAACTGTGGAATCGAGAGCGTTTATTTGGAAAGATTCCGAAATAACACTGCCGTCGCAGTGTAATACTTCAGACATTGCACCTCGTGGTTGCGATGTAAGTGAACTTATCGAATCAATTTGATTCGAGGGCCCGCAATTCTTATACGGAGATGAGTCAGGGTGCCCAGAAAATTCGCATTTTCCGATACCCTCCGAATTGGAAAAGTCCGAGCTTAAAAGAGCTTGCTCTTGCTCACACATGTTAAACCGTTGAGCAATCGCCCTCGTTTGAGTTTATGACTCGCATCTCATCGTTTTCCAAGATCATCAGGATTCTTGATTTTTAAACCCAGGAAAGAGAACGATCACGCTTCGAACAGAACCGAATTTTTCCGATAGATTACATTTTTACAGCCGTACTCAAAAAGAGTTAAGGAGTATATTAGAATTTTGGTAAAAGTGGATGTGTGTAACGCAGAGAAGGAAACGTATCCGACCCCATAAAGTATATATATTCTTGATCAGCATCAATAGCCGAGTCGATATAGCCATGTCTGTCTGTCCATCTGTCTGCCTTGTTGAGCGCCTAGATCTCAGAGACTATATGAGCTAGGGCAACCAAATTTGGTTTCCAGGCTCATGTGATATCACACAGCTACAAGTGTGTTTCAAAGTTTCGCCCCGCCCCCTTCCTTCCCCAAAAAACACGAAAATCTGTGGCAGGCACATTTTTTAAGATACGATAAAACTAAAAACTCAGTATCGTAGAGAATGCACATATCTATCAGATTCCCGAATCTGAATCAGATCGGATCATAATTATAGCCAGAATAAAGAAATTTTCAGTTGCTTCCCCCCGCCCCCTCCAGACAACGACAACACAACTCTTTTTCCATCTCGCTCGCACACTCTGCCGCGCTCAGTGCGCGAGCAACCCCTAGCGGAGGAGATGTAGAATCTAAATGGTAAATGTATAATCTACATGTTAGATGTAGAATATACATAATATATGTAGATGTAGATAACAGATGTAGCAAAAAAATGTAAAATGTAACATTTTTTTTTTAAATTCTAAAATTCTAAATAATCAAATGCTCAAAAATGTATGACTGAGCACTGACTGAGTACGGGTATAAGTAGAGTCGCGTCCCCAGAAGCGACTCGCACGTTCCTTCTCGTTTTGATTTAAGATGAGTAGGCAGTCATTATCTAGAAGTCTACTGAAAAATTGTGGTGTTTTAAAGATTAAAGAAGCTGTGAAATAAAAATTGATTAAAAATAGCTTGTCGATACACCAAAAATTTCTGTTGGTTTATAAGAAATACCCAGACGACGACGACCAGAAATAAACATAAACCTGTGTATACGTGTTGCAAGGTTTGGTTGACGGAAATTATGGAATTAGTAATGGATTAGTAACCCTCTGCCTCTTTGCTGGGTAAATACACATATGATCATAATAATAGGTACACGTTGCAAATTTTCAATTCACATCAGTTTTATCGTACTTTATGAGTTGAAAACCAAATTTTTTTTTGTATTTTTTGTTTGTCAATATGAGGCAACTCTTTGACAAAAAAATTAAATAGGTGAACCCCCTAATAACAGAGCTTTTACCGAAAATGTGAGTTGACCACACACTTTGGCTGATCAATATAATAGGTACAGTGTCAGTAATTCTTCAATATTAAGTAAATAATTTGAGATTTTTTGCTTTTTTGGCCGTTTAATGTAAATTTCATTTAACTAAAGTCAAAACATAAACAAATAATTATTTTTTCCTTACAAGAATGGGTCGAAATTCTCATTGTACAGAGGAGGAAGCCCGATTGGCTCTTAGTCTGAGAAAAGAAGGCAAATCTCTTCGTGCCATTGCCAAATTAATGCAAAGATCTCATAACTTTGTTAAAAATGCATTAAAAAGGAAATGTAGTCAGGAAACGCGGGGAAGACCACAGAAAACAAGCATAACACTTGACCACTACATTATATCTCTGAGCAAAAAGGACCCATTTAAGTCGTCAAAGGCTATTGCAGCAGAAATCGGACAAGAAGTTAGTGCTCCAACAATCCGTAGACGGCTACAACAAGCCAACCTTCCGGGGAGAATAGCAAGAAAGGTTCCACTTATGCGCAAAAAAAATATAGCCATGAGGCTAACTTTTTCTAAACTTCATAAAGACTGGGTAGGATGCGACGGCGAGAAAAAGTGGAGAAACATTTTGTGGAGCGACGAAACAAAAATAAATTTATTTGGGAATGATTGTTAAAGGAATGTACGACGCCCTAAAGGAAAGGAATTTGATCCACGCTTCACCAAAAAAACTGTCAAACATGGAGGTGGCAATATAATGATATGGGGCTGCTTCTCCTGGTACGGCGTAGGTCCACTTTTCCAGACAACGAACAAAATGAACGCTGAGGAATACAAGTCTATATTGGAGAGTGCTATGTTACCTTATGCTGAAGAAAATATGCCCTTGCGTTGGGTATTTCAACAAGATAACGACCCAAAGCACACATCAAGGCTTTTGACCAACTTTTTTGAGGAACATAAAATTGACGTTTTAAAGTGGCCTAGTCAATCTCCCGACTTAAATCCAATTGAAAACTTGTGGGGAGATTTAAAAAAGAAATTAGCCAAGTTTTCATTTTCAAACAAGCATAAATTATGGGAGGGCGTCCAAAAATTGTGGTATGAGACACCTATAGAAACCTGCCAGGCGCTTATTAAAAGTATGCCAAAGAGAATTATAAAGGTGTCCAAAAATAGAGGTGGATACACTGGATATTAACTAGTATTAACTAATAAAGCCAAAAAAAAAATTAAATATTCAGTTACAACATTTTTATCCTGAGAACACTTGAAGTGTACCTATTATTTTGATCAGCCTGACATCGACTTTAAAATACAAATGGATCTCTTTTCATTTATAACATTATCATATACTATAAAAAGCTTTTTATTAATGAAAAAAAATACTTAAAGAATAAGTGGGAACAAATTTTACTTTTCAAATATCGAATAAAACTGTTTTCTATTATGATAAAGTTCACGTAGATGTGTGTACCTATTATTATGATCATGTGTGTATAAGCACTAACATGGCCATTCGAGCCGGACTAGTAACCCTCTGCCTCTTTGTTAGGTAAATATAAGCACTAACATGGTCCTTAGAAGCCCACGGAACTGCATATGGATTGCGCAAGACAGAAGCGCAATTTCATCACATGGTGAAATAGATCTGTATGTATACCCTGCAGTACGGGTAAGCGATGTGTAAGCAACCACACAACGATGGCAACGTCATGCAGCTCGATGACATAAGCGATGACCTGCCATACAATGGGCTGTTTACTTTAACACAGGGATGTCCTAGGAGCATAATCGATGATATAGTAAACGAGAATTAGCCTTAATAAGCGATGAATTTACCTTAAAAAGTAAGGCCTTAATAACCGATGGATTTTCCTTGAAAAGTAAGGCCTTAATAAGCGATGAATTTCCCTTAAAGTAAGGCCCTAATAAGTGATGTGTTTAAGTAAAAAGGCATGGGTAAATTCCTTTATAAAATATTAAATTTCTTTTATTTATTGTTTTCTTATAAAAATGTATACATATTCACATTTTTGTGCTGTGTGTTCTTTTTTCCACAGAACCTTTTTAGTTTTTTTGATTTGCTCATGTTCGTAAGGCCGTCGTGGTCGTTCCGGGCACATCAACTGAATCGCCTTTAAAATAAGATGTGTTAATTAAAATATTTTTCAATTTGTTAACAATGCTCTCAGTAGATCAGCAGTGCATTTGCGCCAAAAACAAAACACCCGCCAAGATATGTACCTGCTCGACTCAAGACTCGCAAGAACCACTCGGGTGTTTTTTTCTGTTTTCGTTGTTGGAAATGAAAAATGTCGTCGAAAACGCATTTAATTTCGCAATATCACATTTTCTTCATTTTTTACAACGCACAATAGACTATTTTTAATTAAATGAAACTGCACTTACCTGATAATAATTTTGCCCAAAATATACAAAACCTGCGTCTCATTTTTCACAGCACAATTCTAACAACGTTGTCGACGCCGACGGCAAAACCGAATTATGTTACGGCACGCGTCGTAACAGAAAGAAACAAAGAAAAAAAAAGAGTTTGGTCTGACCGACGCGTCGACTTCATATTCTACTCGTCTGTCGCAGCGGCAGTGAAAAAATCCTGAATGACGCGTAGTTGACATTTGTCATCGCTTACTTCTGGTACTGCAGGGTATTCCAAGCCTGATCCAAGATATACACATACGAACATCTGCATGCATGCGCTAACACTTTGACGACGACTAGTGTATGTGTACTGACAGACGTGCAACAGAAAGAGAAAGAAAGACTGTTGCGTGTTTTTGGTGATGCTCCAGACAGGATACATAAATGGGAATACATACATGAAAACATACACCGAAATACGTGCCGAAAAGACTGGCGGAAAAAAATTAAAGTTGTGACGACATCTAAAATCGACAAATCTGTTCAAATCGCTGAACAAAAGATCGTAGACAGCTATAATGGGACAAAAAAAATAAGATAATCCACACTCCTCATACCGACAAGAAATGGACGCTACCATCAAAGCAAGGACAACGTAATCAAAAAGGCTGCAGGGCAAGCAGTCCGAAGGCCGATCTCCACAAACAGCCAAAAGTAGCCAAAACTCACGCGCATCGTCTAAGGTGCAAAATCTGATGAAACAACTGGAGTTAAATACAAAACAGCAGCAGCTTGCCCAGTAAATTGCAACACAGGGAGAGCAGCGCCAACAGCTGACACTTCAACAAAAACATCTGGACTTGGAACAAGAGCTGCTTGAGGTGCAGCTACAAGAAGAAGAAAAAGAAGATGACAGCGACGACAATGATGGCAAATACGCTGAGATGCGTACAAGTGAGTGGGTTAACAACACGTAAGCTTAAATTTGAAAATGAAAGTCTTAATAAGTCAGGAAATAATCAGGATGTGGAAACATTCATGGCAAGGCAGACAATAAAACAAGAACTACCGACATTTGCAGGGGATCCATTAGAATGGCCCATATTTTATTCCGAATTTGAAAATAGTACAAACGCTTGTAAATTTAGGAACTATGAAAACTTAAGTCGTCTAAGAAAAGCATTGACAGGTCGCGCCAAATAATGTGTACAATCTCTTTTGTTGTTACCAGATAATGTGTTAACGATAATAAAAATCCTAAAAGAGAGATTTGGTGACTCGAGTCATATTATAAGACAACTGATTGATAAAATTAAGAATTTCCCATTTGTAAAAGACGATATATATGAACGACTAATCTCATTTTATGATAAATTACAAATCTAATTCATACATTGTTGCTCATCGAAGATTTAGATCATATTCTTAATCCGTTGTTACATGACGAAATATTGGAAAAATTACCTATGTCACAGCGAATTGCATTTATGAAACACTTTTAAAAATCTAGATCAGCTGAGCCAAAAATAATAGTTTTTAAGGCTTGGCTAAGTGAAACCATTAAGGCTGCAACCATGATAGGCCTGGGGCAGCATAAGTCCAAAGATAGTACTTTAACAGCTACAAATTATCCAAATAATGCAACCAAAGAATATAGAAAAGGATTCTGTAATTATTGTAAATCGATTGATCATTATGTTACGACATGTGGAAAATTTAAAGACTTACATATTGACAAACAATGGGAGCATGTGTCTCAGAATAGCTTGTGTATATCTTGTCTTGGTAAAAACCATTTGATGAAAGATGGTAGACGCAAATGCAATGTTAAATAGATAATTGCAGTTATAATTATAAAAATTTGTTACACAGTCTCTAATCTCAACTTACCTTTACAAACTCTGAAAATAGACGACATAACCGACAATTTTAAATTTTTGAAAAACTTCATTGACTGTTCATACGAAAAGGCCCATCCAAAAATGTTGGTAGGACAAGACAACTGGTCTCTTATAGTTTCACGAAAACTACATTACGAAGCCTTTAATGGACCAGTGGCGAGCAAAACCTTGTTGGGCTGGGTTATTCATGGAGTAGTAGCACCAGACAGACAGAAAATTGAAACCAATTATTCTTTTCATATCAACAACAAAGTTTTAAAAGAAGAGGAATGTGATGACTTGGATGTTTTACATTACCTCGTCAAATCTTACTGGTCAATCGAGAGCGAACTAACTGTTAAGAACGACTATCCTTTGTCACTTGACGACAAAAGGTGCTTAGAAATTGTAGACAAATATCCAAAGCGTGTAGAAGACAGGTTTGAATTCGGTTTGTTTTGGAAACAAGAAGATATACGACTTCCAGAGAGTTACAACAATGCGTATTCTAGATTAATGGCCTGTGGAAGGAAAATTGACAAAAACCCTAAATATGGAAAGAAATATGAAGAAACAATTAAATCACATATTTCAAGAGGGTATATAACAAAATTGGACTCGTATGAACTAGATATTCAGTCACCCGTGACTTATTATCTTCCCCATTTTTGCGTACAAAATATAAATAAGCCAGATAAATTGAGAATTGTGTTCGACGCTGCTTCTAGTCATGGGTATTGACATAATGATTTTATGATAGCAGGACCTGACCTTTACAATCAACTGTCATCTGTCGTCATGAATTTCCGTGAAAACAAAATTGTTTTTTTCGGTGACATAAAAGAAATGTTTCTACAAATAAAAGTTCAACAGACAGATCGACCAGCCCAGAGAATTTTGTGGCGTGAAAAAGACGGCAAGGTATACCAGACGTTTATGAAATACAAGTTTTATTTTTGGGAGATATATGCAGTCCAAGTATTGCACAACAAGTAAGGAATCGTAATACAAGTGACTTTAAGAAAAAATACCCTAAAGCCTGCCAAGACATAATAGGAAAATATTACATGGACGACTACTTGGGAGGAGCAGATGACATTATCAGTGCCATACAACTGATAAAAGATGTTATATATGTACATCAGCAAGGTGGGTTTGAAATGTGCAATTGGATTTCAAACTCTTCAGAGGTTTTAGACCATATAAGCCCTACAAAATGCCACAAAAAATCGATATCTTCCAAAAAGATTATAAACTTAACAGAAGAGCGTGTTTAAGGCCTAATGTGGGATTATAAAAAAGACAGTCTGGCTTATAACTTAAATTTTACAAAATCTCTTAGTGAACTTCTGAAATTGGCTCCTTCCAATTTGCTCATATCGAATAAAATACTGTTACAAGCAATCTGGGATAGTGGAATCAACTGGGACGACCCTATCATAGATGACCATTTTGGTTTGTGGAAAGAGCTATGTAATTCGTTTTATAAAATTAGTAACTTCAGTGTGCCAAGACGTATGACAAAACTTACAATAAATGACTGTGAAGTACAATTGCATGTATTTTGCGATGCTTCTGAATATGCTTATGCATCTTGCGCATACGTACGATTCCAAAGTGACGACAAAATTGAATGCAGTTTAATAACTACAAAATTACGTGTAGCACCACTCAAACCAATGTCAATTCCGCGGTTGGAATTACAAGGAGCTTTACTGGGAGCAAGAATGAGTAAAATGATTAAAGAAACTTTGAATTTTAAAACAGGCTGAACGCATTTATGGACACACTCGGAAATTGTTTTGTATTGGCTCAAGTCGAGCAGCAAACGCTTCAAAACCTTTGTATCCCAACGCTTAGGAGAAATATAGGAGATATCAAATGTAGGGGATTGGAAGTATGTTCCAACGAAATTGAACCCAGCAGATGAGGCAACCAAAATCACTAAAATAGATTTTACAAACAACAAATTGTGGTTGACAGGTCCACAGTTTTTGCATAATAATAGTGATCACTGGCCAGTAGGAAGGATTTCAGTTGGGTGACAGGATATCGATCTAATTGACAAAGAGTATGTTAATGTCACTTAGCTACTGAGAACCGATATTGACTTACCAGACGTTCTTCGATTCTCGAACTGGTTGCGGTTCTTAAGAACCACAGCTTGGATACTACGATATGTAGACCATTTAAAGCTCAGGAGACAAAATCCAAATTGTAAGCAACTGACAGCTAAGGAAATAGCTAGGGCAGAAATTTTAATATTTAGAAAAATGCAACTTGATTGTTACCCACGTGAAGTAAAAATTGACAAAAGAATATGTTGATAATTCAAGAAGTTTAAAATCACTACCCTTGAAAATTTCCGATGACGGCTTAATGAGACTCAAAGGTAGACTGGACAATGTTAATGACAGCGACTATGACTTTAACTAGAAAATTCCCATTGTTCTAAGCAAAGATCACCCGATCACAATTTTTATACCCGTACTCAAAAAAGAGTTAAGGGGTATATTAGATTTGTGGCAAAAGTGGATGTGTGCAACGCAGAGAAGGAAACGTTTCCGACCCCATAAAGTATATATATTCTTGATCAGCATCAATAGCCGAGTCCATATAGCCATGTCCGTCTGTCCGTCCGTCCGTCTGTCCGTCTTGATGAGCGCCTAGATCTCAGAGACTATAAGAGCTAGAGAAACCAAATTTGGTTTCCAGACTCATGTGATATCACACTGCTACAAGTGTATTTCAAAATTTCGCCCCGCCCCATTCAGCCACCACAAAGAACGAAAATCTGTGGCAGGCACATTTTCAAAGATACGATAAAACTAAAAACGCAGTATCGTAGAGAATGCCCATATCTACCAGACTGCTGAATCTGAATCAGATCGGATGACCATAGCCAGAATGACGAAATTAATTTTCAGTTACTTCCCCTGCCCCCTCCAGCCAACGACAACACAACTTATTTTCCATCTCGCTCGCACACTCTGCCGCGTTCAGTGCGCGAGCAACCCCTAGCGGAGGAGATGTAGAATCTAAATGGTACATGTATAATCTACATGTAAGATGTAGAATATACATAATATATGTAGATGTAGATAACAGATGTAGCAAAAAAATGTAAAATTAAAAATTTTTTTTTTTTTTAATTCTAAAATTCTAAAAAGTCACATGCTCAAAAATGTATATGCTGACTGAGTACGGGTATAAGTAGTGTCGCGTCCCCAGAAGCGACTCGCACGTTCCTTCTCGTTCTTTTTTTTCTTTTATGATATAAAATAATTGATTTTTTAAAGCTGTACTTTTATAATTTAAAAGCAAAAAAACATCCCATATCGTTCGAGTCAAACATAACAATGTACTCGGCAACTCTAGCAGTTGCCTGGCAACTCTGCATGCATGGCAGCAATCAGCTGTTCAAAAAAAACACACATCTGAATTTTACGGAAAACTTAATTAAAATGCTTTTACCGAGATTGTTGGCCATCGAAGAACTACGGAGGCAACATATTAGAATACAAACCTTGCAGTGCAGGCTTTTCAGATGCGCATCGGACTCGTTTTCACGTTCAAACGATACGTATGTGGTTTTTGTGATTCATTACAATTACCAGTTTTTGGTAGAATGATCGCTATGATTCTATTTGTGCTGCCATGGGTCTGCGCTTAGCCGAACAGGGGTTTTTGACATAAATGCAATGGCAATAATGTGTAGAAATGGTTTGTTAGTTTTGTTTTGGCATTTTGAAGCGATGCCACCTGGTAGAACTACAAATGAATACAAATGTTTGGTAATGAACATAATAAATAGAAACAAATCCTAGCAATGTCAAAGTAGAACTGCACCTAAAGATGCATATAAGGAAAAATAGTCACCCAATATAAAGCTTCATACCACTGCACCGAGGATCACGTGGGCCACACAAACAAATGGACCGGCCAATGCACAATTGCCAGGATATGGACACAAACCATTGCACGGGCAGTCTGCGTTGCCTGTGGTGTGTTCATCTCACTGAGGCCTGCCCCGAATAAGGAGGACCCATCCCAAAAAAGCATGTGGGGAAACCATACTCCAACTATAGGGTTGTCCTGTCTATAAAGAATTGAAAAATCGCCTAAACCAACAAATAACTGCAGCTCTAACCCGGCGTCCAAACTAATCCACCCCGGGTTCTGTCAGGCGTTAAGTACAACACGGGTCGTACGCCCAGTCCAGCCGACACTTCAACCAACCACAGCGGAAATAGATGGCATCAAATAGTCCAGATTCCCCAATACCCCTCCATCCCAATTGCCTAGTGGAATTGAGTCATTGGAACTATAAAAGGAGCAAAAACATGCAGGGCTATGCCAACCAAAATCCCCCTGCAATGTAATGCCTTTAATATAGTTTGAAGGCCCCAGCTCCCACCGACTTGCCCGCTCAATAAGCCACCAACAAATAAAAAATCACCCAGGCTATAACTCTAGACAAATCTCCCCTGGAGGTGCAGCCTCCCCCCCCATTCATTGAATTCAGGCGTACCTAAACCTAGCCGCAGATCTCCCACCACGTTTCCTCCAACATTACACCACAGGTTACCTTAAGCAGCTGGTGACTAGCCAAGCACCCCATTGGGGATCAGACACCAACCCAAAGAAAACTATATAACGCTATAATAACCCACGAACAGCTACTATCCTCCGGGCAGCCCACATATTGGCCCACAGTCCAAACACAACCCCTATTGTTAGTTACACGGGTCTCAAGCCAGTTATGTAGTCACTAACAGTCATCATCGGTCACCGCCCATTCTACCACCTTTACGCCACCCAGCTGGACCCCACCTCTAACTCAGCAAAACGTTGGCCAATATAGAGCTAACCTCATTGTGCTGCCAAACTAATTGTAAGTCTTGTGTCAGCAGCTTGGTTTCCCAATGTCACTGGCGGCAAAACCCAACCCAATATTAGCATCAATAAACTCCAACAGCAGTCGTCAGCACTTGAGTGCTGTACCGTAAGAGGCTCGCAGGTGGAGCACATCACCTCTCGAAGGCGGCTAAAATACCAACCACCTACTACGCAGGCCCAAGTGAAAAAAACCGAGCAAAACATAGACACCCCCACACAAACGTTCCCACTGTGGAAGCAAATCAGGTGATGCCCACCAAGAGAGTGAATCACCTTTGTCACAACGGTGGCAACAGGGCTCCGCCATCTAGAAACGCTCAAACCCCCCGCAACTGCTGGCCACCAACCAACAACCCGCTCCACTCCAAACAGAGAAGTCACAAGGGTCATTAAAGCCAACAAAAGCCCGGCCCTCCCCCCCCGGCTGTTCAACAACCTTATGGGTGATCCAACAACCAAACCCCCCCCACCCCACACCCTCCACCCCCCCCTTACGAACCAAGTCCATGTCGGCCCCGTGGTTGTGCCAAATCCCATGGGCTACCACCGCACCCCCCGCCTCCCCCCCCCCACCCTTTCCTCGCCCGGGCCCCCCCCGGGCCGCCCCCCACCCCCCCTCCACCCCCCCCCTCGCCCCCGCTATCCTCCCCTGTACCCCCGCCCGGTACGCCCAAGACTTCTGGGCCCATGGTACATCGGAATGACATCCATAAA